GGTCAGATGCTGGGAATCAAGAAAACTACTATGGCAGACGACTTTGGACTCGGTGCGTTCTACATAGTCTCCCTGAACACAAGACCAAGTTGCGGTAACGAGGTCAACCCAATTCTATATGATTTACTGATTGTCTCGAAAACCTATTCAATAACGAAAAAAGTCATGTCAATTACATTCAAAACATATTAGAATTTCGTGTGCTTAATTCCTTATTATTGCATTTATAGAGGAATGCAGTAGTAGGTTCACCAACAAACAGATTTACTCACTTGCAAATAATGAAAATAATTTCTTTCCGATAATTTGAATAGACCTGGATTTCTACGTATGATGTTTGATCTTATTTTAATTTTTATATTGCATACTATGTCTTTTCGTAACAGCATTGCATCCAGAAATCATATTGGAGCTCTTCTTAAAACTTAGAATAAGTATACACATTGGAATTGTTATATACTTGCGTTAAGGTTTATTTTCAGATCCAGTAAATTACTGTGAACTGCCATTATCTCAGAATGCCATTCCCAGACGCTTCTCCGAAATCCTGGTCAGTATTTTGAGTGAGTAACGCCATCATCCGAAAATAAAATGACTCATCCACTGACTTTTTGTTGGAAGATTGAAAACTCTTTTTTGCCTTGGTCATTTATCTTCCTCTCTCACTATACGCGAAAATGCAGTGATTAATCAAAACCATCTCAATAGGTTAGCATTTAAAATGCGGGAGCCGTTAGCAAAAACTGTAAATTTTATCGAACCTTGCAGCGAAGACTAGAAAAATGATTTCACATTGCTTACGGTTCAATGATTAATAAAGCCAATTCCTAACTATGATATTTTGAAATCTCTGCACCAATGCAAAACTATGTGAAATGCTTCTACTTAGTGAGGCTACATCGAAAGTGCAGACTTATCGATTTAACGATAGTTGGATAGAATAGTTATAACTTATTCGAACTGGAGAAAGTGATATAGAGTTCCACGTTAGTGGATCCAAGCAAAAGCATCACTCGGCCCTGACATGTGTTAATTTTTTTTGGAACTATTAGTAGATTTTGCGAGATTAAGGTCGTTTTGGACAAGTCATACCTTGGGGCTATATAGTGAGATCGAGAATGGACAAATAATGAGAACTTCTATAGTCGTATAGTTTGAAGTTATTGCACACATGGGGTCGAATAAATAAATTCTTGAGCATAATTGATATAGAATCTACGACCAAACACAGCTGGTTAACCAAATATATTGAACACAAAATTTCAACGGCAAGAGGATGCAGCTTTTAGGAGCTCAGGCAAGTTGTCCTTTGTAATCCAGAAGCACGGCAGAGGAGATTAGGCAAAAATGGCTACGCTCCGATAACCCCATTTAAAGGCATTCATCAGTCTGTTATGTATAAAAAAAGGCTTAAAATTGGGTTATGACTGAGACTTGGTTATATAAAGTTTAAGCTAAGGTGTACTTGGTCAATGCTTCGACTCTAGAAGGACATACGGCAACAATAATACGTTACAATAAAGGAAGCAATTCTAGAAACCACTTTGAAAGCACAACTTTAGTTTGTCTATTAAGCGTTTTAAAACAGAATTTTTTCATATTCTCTTTTTTTTTCTATCCACCCCTTATCTTATTTTTTTCGGATGGGTTTACCTAAATATTTTATTATCATATTTCGCCTCTGGAGAATCTTCTCTAGTTTCATGAAAACCTTTATATATATATATTCTCTTGTTTCTCTATTTGATGCTGTTACTTATTTTCAGACCAAAACTTGGCACACTTTTGCCCCCTGATCTCCTTGAACTGCTCACCGACACTTTTGGTCGCCAACTTCGATCCACTCGGCTATCCACAGCAGTCCAGCAAGCTGAACCTAGCGCGCCTGGTGAAAACTCCGCATGGCTATGTGAAACTGGCAAGCGCTTTCTGAACCAGTACGCTGATTATCTGCAATCTGAAGTAGGCTTTGTCCGCATAGATCTGGGCCCGATTGAGAGCCCCCCAGCACCGACCTCTTCAGCGTCTGCCCCCAATCATACGGCATTTCATCCGAATCTGACCACTACTGGAGTTCCTGCTAGTCTGTCAGTCTTGCAAGGAGGAATAACTGCACCCGCAGGATATGTGGGCAGTGGCGGTGTGGGCCTGGGAAATTTGTCTCCCTCCCGAGTTAGTCGATTAGGTGAACATAATTTAACTAGGGATCCTGAAAATCGGGCTCTTGGAAAAATGATTGTACGTACCGATAGACGACCCAGTATCGAGACTAACCGTTTTGCAGGATCTGCTTTGTCTGCAGCTAGTCCTACCCATGTTTCGTCCGAGACAGCCTCTTGTGCACGTAAGGCTACTGTTGCCAATGAAGAAAGTTTAACATCACACCCTCGGATGTCTCATTTACTGACCAATTGGTCAAGGCAAAATGGCCCCTGCAGTGCCTCAGCGACAAAATCTAACTCAACCTATGCCTTATTCCAGCGTTCCATTCACCTGGCCGGAATACATATAATTGAGGCAAGGCCTTCTCTTTTCTTTCTTTTATGGCTTTATTGCAAGCTTTCGTCTTAAAAATACCTTATTTTACTCTTGTTATGCCTCTAATCAAGACTGAATTCCTTCTTTCTATTACATAGAACAAAACGTTACTTTTGCTGTCCTAATTACTTTAAGCCGTCACTGCTGGCTTCGTGCATAGACGAACACATGCAGGTACATGCACATACAGAGACAGATAGACTCACATGCTTCGAGGCTGATATATGATTGGAAATAACAAAATCACTGGTGGAATCGACCTTTGAATTCTTTATATCTATTAGAAGGAAATTACATTAATGTTCACTTGGTCTCTCCGAGTCCAAGC